AGGAATTGAAATCCCGTCACTCAAGATGTTGCTATTAGGGTTAGAGTAATGTTAAAGTTGATTTATATATATGGGATTTCGTAAAATTTGAACAGGCCCACATATTTCATTTTGAATTAGATTTGGTGTCCATTGCCTTTTTCAAAATATAGTTCCGTCTGCATCTATTCTCATTCTTCTTAAATTTTCTATTTTTTGAAATCAAGTTCTTTTTCAATTTGGAGTTTGTGGGCATTAAATATGTGCAGTGAAAATTGACAATAAATATGACAGTACATGTATTGTTGAATATGGACAGTAAATATAGCAATAGATAATGTTTCTACATGGGCAGTGAATGAATGCATTGAACAAGTGTGTTATGAAGTGATTATGACCATTAGTGCACTAACACAGAGCAATAAGTTCGCCATGAAATGCAATATAATTAATTATATGTAAAACAATAAAATTATAAAATAAAAAAAATAAAAATAAAAACAAAAAAATCCTCAAGTGAATGAGAAGAGAATTAATTTTGGCGAAAGTGTAGTGATTATAACCGGATGTGTAGTGAAGACGTGCATTAATTTTGTGCATTAACGGCAATATAAAGTGCAATAATTTTAATTTGACGAAATTAGTGCAAAATGCACATATTTTAAATAAGGGTATTTTCGTCATTCAACATTTAAATATAAACGAATTTTCTATTTGTTTTTGAATTTTTGGTCATACAAAGGTATAAAAACTAGTTAGGTCATAGATTGAGAAACGCATTGAGTTTTAGCCATATCCCGGTAAATTTCCCATATATATATATATATATATATATATATATATAGAATAAAGATCAAATACAAAGCCTTCTTAATTTACAAAGTACAAACTCATCTTGACCGTCCGATGAGTTGATCCAAAGGACACAAAGGCAAGGTGGCATTTTTGTAATAAAACCCAACTTTTTAGGGTGCAACTCGTTGCACCTTAATGTGCAACTGTTATTTTTATGACTTTATAATGTGCAATACTTTGAACCTCAATATGCAATGCAAATAACGTCAAGGTGCATCGTACAAATATTTGCACAATAAGCACACTTTGTACTTGATCTTTCCCCTATATATATATATATATATATATATATATATATATATATATGCATGCAAGTATATGGAGAGAAGGTAAGTGAGAACTGAAATATCATCGTATCTTCTACTTTCTCCTTTGGAAAATAAGACATAACTGCCATTTTAACAAAATTCCCGAAATGCAATATTAAACCAAGCAAAATTAAATTCCTCTGAGTTAGTAAATCAAAAGAGATGTTGTGACTTGTGAATTAGTTAAGAATGTAAATGTTATGTGATAGATTTCCAGATCTAAGAGCCTCTCAGGCATGCATCAAAGGAAAGCAGGATCTCTAGGTGGTTGACTAGGAGAAGGACATTGAACACTAGCTTATAAATTCACTATCACAAAGACATTATCCACTCCACATCAGGGATAAGGGGCAACAGTCACCGACTTGAAAACCAAGAGACAGTTTAATTGATTATAGATGATTTTAAGTTCTTAATTCTCGAAATTCCAGCCAATTGATGGAATTATAGTTTCCAGAGGTAAATATATTTTCCAACTGATGAATTCAAGGTAATAGATTGTGGGGCTGTGTAGATTTCATGTGATAGATTTCCAGATTGCTATAAGATCAATACAGTGAACCACAAAGGCGAAACTGAAAAGGGCTGAAGATTTTGTTGTTATTTAAATAGTTGTGAAATACTTCGTATACTCCGTATTTAAGTACGATTGTATGATTTTTTTATATATAAATAAATCGTGATGAATATTGTTTGCTTTATACGTAGTATATTAGTGAGTAACGGTAAACAATATTTCTTTTGCAAGTTAATTTATTTTTTAATTATATTAATTGAAAACTACATTTATTTGTTGTGTTGGTGAATATTTGTTTGTACTTTTACGCTGTGTTTGGATGGAGTGTTAGTGAGTGTTAGTAATGGAAGTGTTAGTAAGTGTTGACAGTGGCCCGGAAGAGAAGATAAGTGTAAATGTTAAGTATAAACTAACCCTGTTGGAAGAGTAAAAAAATGGAGTGTTAGTAAAGGAGGTGTTTTCACATAAATTTACAAAATAACACTTTTTAAATCTTAATATATATTAAAATGAAATCGTATGGGGAAATAAATAACTGTTCCTGCCATATACATAATATGTTCATCCGTGAAACATGCATGTTATACACTTCGTATTATAATTCATATAAGGACAAAATATAAGTATAAATAATATATTTTAAAAGGTAAAAATACTATTATATGTAATACTCCGTACTAATAAAACTCCAAAAAAATAACTAATAAGGAATATTTAGTCAATAAATTACAAGCGTTGTTTTCAGTCACGTAATTGTATATATATTGTACAACAACACGTACAACTCTTGAAAAAAATGTAGTGCAACAAAATAAGTTTTAATTGATCAAGAGAGTTTTAATTGATAAAGAATTGCCAATAATAATGTCATCCACATATAATAATAAATAAATAACATAATTATTCTGACGATAGATAAACAGAGAATTATCTGACTTACTACATGTAAAATGATGAGACAATAAAAAACTACTAAAACGAACCATGCACGTGGGGCCTGCTTAAGCCCATAAATGTACTTATGGGTGTCAATTAAATGGGATTGGATGCGTTCATGGGGGATTCTCCTACCTGTATCTTCCATACAGGTAAACAAATATATTCTATTAAAATGTGCTCCAACACTAGGCAAAAAAAAATGTACTTATGGGTGTCAATTAAATGGGATTGGATGCGTTCATGGGGGATTCTCCTACCTGTATTGAGTGTATTCACCCAGGAGCGGTGATATTTAGCAAGCTGGTCTGGGTGCAAGAATGAAATAGTACAGAGCCCAACCAAAAGTAAAATCCAATTTTTCTAAAGTGTTATACTACTTACGATCTATTTTATGTGTCTTAGTTTGACTTGACATGGTTATTAATGAAGTGGCTGAAAAAGTAAAAGTTGTGATTGAAGTTTGAGTATAATAAAGTGAAGTGGTGTGACTCACATATTTCTTCCAAAAAAAATGAAATGAAACACTTATTTTGGAACAACTTAAAAAAGAAAGTATGACGGATAAAATGAGAAGGAGAGAGTAATATTTTATTTGTACTCCAATTTTTACAAAATATATCACCTACCATTCATAATTTTTTATAATCTTTCATATGGAACAATATTGCATATTAAGTTAAAAAAATACATGGAGTTTCAAATGGTAAATATTTTCAGATCCAAAATTTATCATAAATACATTCAAGTGCTAAAATAAAGATCTCATGGTCATCTTTTGACATCTTCCAATTATTATTTTTATAATAGATCTGACGAAAAAACTGAAAAATATACCCTAATCTATTTATTTATTTGAACATTTGACTTTTAAATGATAGTTTTTCACAAACAATTGGAAAACAAATGTACAATAATAAAAGTAGGGCTTTAGTAAAAAAAGATTCTTTTGTAAATATCGATTTGTGCTGGATTGCAAGAAAAACTGCATTTATTGAGTAAATAGTAGTATATGTTACTATCATGTTACTATTGGAGTGTATACTTTGTGGTGGTCTAGAATGATTAATTAAATTTAATTTCATGAGATTAGAATCAATAAATAAAGATTGCAGTTGCGATTGAAATTCCTGAAAATCTTCTTCTACCACCAAGTTCACGAGATCCAATTGCAACTATTATTGAAATATGTATCCACAATATATATATATATATATATATATATATATATATATATATATATATATATATATATATATATATATATATATATATTCGAACGTGTGTGAAGATTTTAGCTGCTTTAAAGAGATAGCTATTTTAGCACTAACTTTATACGTTGTCGATGATCGAGATCAATGACTACATGATTTCGCTTAATAAATCTCAACCATGAAGGACTTACTCGAGTTCAGAGGCTATATACAAGTCAAATTATAATGTTGGTTTTCTTGCATATTTTACAATTTTGAATAAGACTCACCTTTTAGGTGTAGCCAATCATGAGCTCACACTTAAAATAGGTACACTTGTGATGCTTTAGGGAAAGATAGATCATTCAATGAGATTATATAATAATATTAGGTGTTGCTTATTATTATATGCAATGACAATATATAAAAGTCAGAGTCAGTCTCTCCCATGTAAAGAGTTGTTGAAGAAGTAAGATTTATCTCACGTTCAACTCTAAAAGTTTTGTTGGTGGATGGTGATAATGAAAGCATAACAAAAATAAACCATGTTGGAATTTTTTATTAGTAACAATACAAGTAGTACTATTTAGTTGTTCTCTTTTAGTTGAAATAAAAAAAGTTTTTGTCCCATATTGTTTTTTCAATTTCTTGAGTAGTTTGTATGAAATTTGTTTGCCGTGCATCGCACGGGTGAGCTACTAGTCATAAGAAGAAGAAACTATAAAGAAGATAGAGGCAACAAGGCAAGGAGCATAATAACCAACTAAAAGAGATGAGGATAAATCACTATAATAAGTTCCGCAAGTCCACAACATCCCGCTTAAATAACAATATTCAAATTTAACACAAAAAAGATTTTATGAGTTGCCAAGTAACTCGCTGAGTCAAATATTTCCTTCCCAAACTAAGAAACTCGCCAAGTACTCAGTGTGAAACTCAGAAAAGCAAGACGAGCCTTGACAAATTGCTAGGTGAACAGCCACCGAAACTACAAGTACTCACCAAGTAGATAAGACATGATCCAACACATGCTTTGCCCAGGAACAAGCCCCCAATTTGCTTTCTATCTACTATACCCCAACACTGTCTCTGAAGTCTGAACTATTAGGAAAACTGGTAGTGTTGGTTTTATATGAAACTAGGTGTATACAAATAAAAAACATGTTGCCTGCTATCATAGTATAATTATTATGAAAAGTTAACCAGACCATTCCCTCAAAAAAATAAAAACAAGTTAACGAGATCATTATGAAATACTTGTAGAGTATCTTCGCTGAACTTTGAAGACTATTAGTCACACAACTTCATTTAGAAGTGATCATGAAATGTGTCGAAGTATTTAACTCAAAAAAGAAAACTCTAGGTACCATATTACACAATCCACAAATTTAACAGCAACAGCAAGCATCTTTCAGTTGGATTAGAGGATGCAATAATCATTCAGGAAAAGTAGAGAGAAATAAATGAAATGGTGTATTAAGAGGGGGAAGAGGAATTGGAGAGCCTAAGGCACTCATTTTGACACCTCTTCAGACAAACGTCGTTCCAATTAGGGACTTGATGCTGATTAACACAGACAGTCCGCGCACATGCATCAGCACAGGCATCAAGCTCCGAAACACCACAAACGGTAACACATGTATCAAGGGTTGGGTCCTTTGAAAATGCGCCTACTTTCTTCAGCATCCTTTTTGACGTACAAACCCTCTCGCAAACAAATATTTCATCTGAGCTCTTCTCCCGCCCTCTGGCTCTCTTTATCCTCTGTTCATCATCCCGTCTCTTCTTCATCCTCAACGCTTGACCTGCCAGTGCAGCAGGTATAGCAGCCCCCAGTAAAGACCACCATAGTTCCACCATCACTGCCACAACCTCTTTGCACAAGAAAAATCATCAAATAATTGTCGCTTTAGTGGTTTAAATGCATAATGAGAAAAAAAGTATAGTTTTAGTAGTAGCAGGGCCGGCCCTGAGAATTCGGAGGCCCTGTGAATCGGAAAAAATTGGGCCTTTTTTTTCAACGTTCCAAACACAAGTGATTTGTATTAAACTACAAGTTACTAATAAACATAATAATAAAAATGAAAGTAGTCATTAATAAAATATCTTTCTTGTAAAAAGAGATACTCTTCTTGCATATTTAGAGGCAAAGTCATGTACCAAATTTGCAATGTCAATCTCAATTCAATTACTTAATAAGTATTACGATAGTAAATTATTTAAATAAATAAGAAAATAACAATAAGGCAAGTAGGCAACAAAGTGAACAAAGAACAAACAAATTTCACTACTTGGCAATTCAAAGAATCAAGAAAATAGAAAAATAATAGACTGATTATACTAGCAGTGCTTACCGGACTGGTGCAAATTGGCAAATTGCAATGGTCCTGGTCTCCTGGAGGCTGGAGCTGGAGTCGGGCGTCTCTTCGTGGTGGCAGGCTGGAGAAGTGGAGAGAACTTGAACCCGGCCCTTGCTGGCGACTTGGCCAGTGGCGGACTGACGGCGAACCCCTTCGACCTTCGGCGGATTGGACTTGCGGTTCCCTACTTCAACCGTTCGTTCGGTCGTTCCTTGCTTTCAGATGATCGGATCTTGGGCTTAATACTACTAAAATATTTTTTGGGCCTTTCAAATTATAGGGCCCTGTGAGGTTGGGCTGGGTGCACCTGCCATGGGCCGGCCCTACTTTTACAAAACAATGACAAAATCAGACTATCAGAGTATTAAAACCATAATAAGTACCAGAACACACAGAGACGGAGCCAGGAATCAGTGTCAGTGGTGTCAATTTAACAAAATATTTTTTTTGAAGCAGAATAGTACTCCGTATTATATAATAATTTATACACATATGAAGCAAAAATAACAAATATTGCCATTAATAAATTAAAGTACTAATTCACAACTGTCCACGACATGTTTTCACATTATGTCTACTATTTACAAAACATTAAACAAAAACAGCACAAATATAATAAGATGATACATTGATAAACTAGTGTAAAGTGTAATTGTGTAAACTAATAATTAATAAATTAACTAAAAATCAACAAATTAGTTAATAAGGTTAGGGGGGCCATTGCCCCTCCCAACTTTTTTGTTTTTTAATACTATTAGTCCTACGTATTAGTCTATTAGATCAGGGAGTATGAGAATGATATTCCAGTAGTTCAATTCATAATCTGCCTATTTGTATGCTCTTTTAGTTCGTTTCTTAAATTGTGATGGGTCTTCAAGTTTTTATGTTCATTTGTAATTTTTTAGTACTTCACTGATTTAATTACATATATGGTTAGCTAAGCTATAATATTTTATTATTTGATTGGAATTGATAAAAGTGTCACATAGTATTATTATGATTGAAAATTTGGAATCGATAGATACGGAGTATACGATTTTAGATTTATTACTTTAGGTTTTGTTTCGAGCTCAGATTATACTTGGGAAAAAATAATGTGGTTCTATAAATTTGTGAGATCTTACCTATTTTTTTTATGGAATCTAATAAATTGATCGACTTTGACATATGATAAAATTCATCTTAATTATATGACTATTTGGATGATTATATTAGAGAGTAATATATCTAATATATGCAAAAAAAATATTAAAAATATATGTCATATGCTTAATTTTTTTTTAATTGTGTGATACAAAATGAAACACAAAAGTATCATTTTTTGGCATTTGTTTTCCTTTCCTAATCATTGTGCAACATATCATAATAGTATAATTTTGAAAGAATGAGCATCTCACTATAATTAATCTTAAATACTAATATATAGAGTTTTGCAATATAGTTCTATAAAATCTCGAAGTATTCAAATAAGTCAACTATTCGATATTTCTTGCCCCCTATCGTCAAATCCTGGCTCCGCCCCTGGACTGCCATAGTAATAAACTAGATAACTACGAATAATCAATAACAGATTGATAGCACAAATTGAACAGTCTAGATAATTAATAAAGTAGTACGTTGTAATAAATTAATAATTTACAAACTAATTAAGCATTAACTAGTATTCTAGTAATTAGTAAGTTTTTCAACCTTTCAACGGCAGTTGGGTTCGTGGGATTGCCGCCTTGCCGGTGAGCCTGTGGCCTGGAAATCTGGACCAACTGGAGAGCAGTTGGGTCCGGCTGGGCGCCTGGGCACTGTAGGCAGCGGATCGGAGTTGCAGGCAGAATCGTCAATCGAGACACCGGCCCCGTTTGTATAATGGCGGATTGAGCAATCTGCTGCTCTTTTTGAACTACAAACCGCTGCTAAAAGCAGCGGGTTGGCTTGACTCCGCTGAAAAACAAACAGCCCCACCGACTGGAGGAGGGTTTCGGGTTCGGTCTTTCTCGTTTCTTGCGGGAGCTTTGGAATAGGCCCAAATTTCAATTGTTTTTTTTGGTGTTCCAAGTTTTTAAAAAATTCAACCCTCACTTCTCTAATTTGTGGAGTGGTGTCAATTTATAATTTATGAAACATTATATACACATATACAAAGAATTATTATTTTTCAGTGATGTCAATTTTAAAATTTAAAAATTTTTATATACCAACTAATGAATTTTTTTTTCCAATGGTGTCAATTTTAAATTTTTTGAAAATTTTATATACCTACTAATGAATTGTTTTTTGAGTGGGGTCAATTGACCCCATACCTCAAAGCCTAGCTCCATCTCTGACAGCCCACTTATAGATCGAGGGAAACAGTGAAAATCGAGCAATTAATACTCTTCTACTTTTTGGATGTGATGATTGAGAACATATTTTACCAATAGAGTGACCAACATTGGGGAGAAACTCCGGGGAGGAATGATGAGAGAGAAACTCCCATATCTCTCTAAACATCCAGCCACCTAAAGTCCGCAATGGATTGCCGGCAACACTCACCTTGCTGGAATCCTTACGAGGATCTTATACACCATCATTTGCAACGTTTTGACCTCAATTATCCGCAACCCATCATTGGGCAGCGCAACAGACTTTACACACAACCTAAAATCCATTGTCCGGATCGATATCTCTCCCATGCTCGAATCAATGGATACAAACGAAGGCCTATGCATCACGGACCCGATGTGCTTGATAGAGAGACTCTCTTCAAACTCCTGTACAACTGCGGGTACCCACTGATGGAACAAGTCGATTGGAATCCAACACCACCAAAGCATTGCCGGCGTAGACGACATCACCAGCCGGAACCCCTCAGGCAAACCCACACGCCGCCCCAATTCAACACGGAGGATGCAACTGGATCTTGGCACACTGTCTACCACAAGCGTCACCGGAGTCGCCCTACTCACCATCCCAATCAGCGAAACATAAACGACATCCGGTGGTCCATAGGTAACTCCAACCGCTTCTTGCTATTAGATAAGGAAGACGATTTTTCAATCCTTCCATTACACCCACAAGCCCTTAATCAAGAAAGACACCCCCCAAGGTTTCTTGAAAGAAGGAAGAAACAAATCTCTAACTACGATACAGTTGGGTCTAGCCATCTCCGCCGGACCTGGAGTCAAGCTCGACCCAAAACTCCAATCGGTCCTGATGCCGGATTCCATAGGTGTAGCCCAACAGCTCCATCGCCGGTCAATTTGGCAGATAGGCATCCTGCCGATAAACAAAAATTCTTGACAGGGCACAATGCGGAGGAGGGCGGCAGAAAGGACAACACCCACTTACTAACTATGCCGGTTATGCGGGTTGGTTTTTATGCGCAGGGTCATGACCGAACAGAGTACAATCGCTGTGGTAGGCATCCGTCTTCAACACCTAACGAAGGAACAGAAAGTACGCCAGAAATTTTGAGGATGGAGCTCCCTTCTTCATCACAGGGGCCCACAACCAACAACGCCGTAGTGGTTGGCATGGGGACTCAAGCACCCGACACTCAGAAATCCATCACATGGGCTGACATAGTAAGGTTGGAAACGGACAAACGCGGGGACAGGCAGATGCTCCATCACCCGACACCCTCATCTGGATGCTACGTTCCATCTCCAAATGATAAAGAAAAACAAATAATTATCTTCACAGATCCAGCTAATTCAAGCGCCCATAGAGACCCGGGTAATCTTTCTCAAATGGAGGCAACGTCAGATGCTTGTTCCCAAGATTCAGAAAAATTCAAGTTTTTTGGAGAGGAGGGTTTTGACTCCATAAAAATTGAATCTAAACTCTTTAGATTTGCTGCCAGAAATAATGAAATAGTAATTTTTGAAATTCAAAAATCCTCACTTAAGAGGATTAATTTCAAATCCGTGTTCGCGCCCCAGATCTACCGTTTCATTCAACAACTCTCATGCTCAGATAAATTTAATCTTGGGGAGATAAGAAAATTCGGGCCTATAACAGTTTCTTCGGTATTCAACAATTCAGATTGTTATGTGAAGATTGCTAAAGAAAAGGGGAGCTCAATTCTAGTCCCCATGGGTCCACACGATTCAAAGCTCAATGCTTTTTTGACATTATTTTCTCATTTCGTTGGATTATCTAATTTAGAGCAGGAGGAACACAGACATTGGGAGCATGTGATATCGGCTGATACTGAGGATATAAGTATTTCAAAACTCATATTTAACTATGAAGTTCAGAGAGCCTATGGCGAGAAGCAACAAACCCTCTCCCTTGAGAAACAACCTCAGACTCCACTTCTTCAGGTTTACTCTGATGCCTCAGACAGCTTCGACCACTCCGATGATTCTTTCTTCTCAGACGATTTTCTTGGACATGCAACCGAAAGCGATCGTCGCCCTCCTTTATCAAATCAGGACGAAATTGGGAACTCCAAATTCAACAGAACGATTTGCCGCAAAGCAAAGTTCGTCACATCCGAAAATTGCCTGCCGACAGACAACCTAAACACGCAACTAAAACTTTACAGGAAATCTCAGCAAAACAAAAGACGCCACAGTATGAGGACTAGATCACAGTCAAGAGATTTCCCTTGGGTCTAGTTCTACTTTTTGTTATTTTCTTTTCATCTCTGCATGTTTTCCTTTTTATTTGTTTTCATGTCTTGTACTTTGTTATTTTTATGAATAAAAAAAAGGAGTAAAAAAAAAAAAAAAAAAAAAACCAATAGAGTGACCAACATTTGAGAATGAAATGAGTATTATGCAATCTCCTTTCAGACCATTTTAGGCAAAGCATTATCAGTAGGCATGTTACTAGTTCAAAGAGTGATTTAGGCATTTAGCCATGAAATCCAGGTATAATAGTTAGTCAGTGGAAGAACTTGTTAGAAACTGAGAATAGAGGAAGAAGATAAGAGATCATTCTATTTTCATTACTTCAAAATGAGCGGAGTATAAGTATTTATACAATTGGTTGCAAGTCTAACTAACTCCATAACAACCGGTCCCCTTACTAGTATACTGTTTAGATAAGAAATTTCTAGTCTATTACATGACGTATATCTAACATCCCCCCCTCAAAATTAGGGTGATTGATTTAACAATTCAATCACACTAAGTTTTGTTTTCAACTCAAGAAATCTGGAACTGTACTGGAGAGTGGCTTGGTCAATATGTCTGCAATCTGATGAAGAGAGGGAATATGATAGACTTGAAGTTGCTTGAGCAGAACTTTTTC